GGGAAAGTAGAAGTAAAATAAGTTCAGCATGGAGCTGAACTGTTACCTGATCCTTCTATATCTAAATTTATAAACAAGGGTGTGTTTTACTGTCAGATTTTAGAAATATTGTTTCTTAATATGATTTTTCTAACACACACAAATTGTAATTTCTACATAAGGTTGTTGTTTAAACTAGCCTGTAATGACTTCATTTGTGCACAACCCTTACCCTAACCCAAATCCTCACCTGGAAATTCCAACCACTCCCTTCTGATCTTATAAATCTTTAGAAGAGAAGGGATTGTACCAGACAGCAAAAACAAACAACCAACCACACAAAACTGTGAAACTCTAGGTCTGTCCATAACCAAAAAGCCAGTTTCATGGCTGCTACTCCTATTTCAGAGCTGTAACACCATCCCCTGGCCTCCACCGCAGTGTGTGGCTTTATTTCCATGCCTTTGTACGGCTGCAGATGCTCTCCGGTGTGCAAAGGCTCATGCAGGTGCGCTACTTTGTGTGCTTCTGAAGGACAGCCACAATGCTCGGATGACAGACGCGCTGACTTAAGGGTGAAAGTCCTTTGTTGTTGCCCTGCTTGTCTCCTCTTACAACAACAGATAACACGTTGGGTGGTTGGGGCCCATCCTGAATACGATTCTCTGAAGCAGCCACGTAAAACCCCTTTTGGATAAGTGGGAGGGTTCAGGTGTCAGTTTTTAATCTGCAGTACAGAAGCAGTAAAAAAAGGTGCAGCATACTGGAAAAGGTGAAACCTTTTTACATTTTGGCAAAACGACCAACGACCAGGAGGGAGACTTCAAGAATTAAAATCTGATAAGTGTGGCCCTTTAAATTCAATTGAATTGATTTTATTTATATAGCGCCAATTCACAACACATGTCATCTCAAGGCGCTTTACAGTTCACCAGATCATACAGTCAAATTGATTCAGAGTTTTCTGTCTAAGGAAAACCAGTTAAATGCATGAACTCATTGACTCGAAGGCAATCCCTCACACTAAGCATGCTTGTAGCGACAGTGGAGAGGAAAAACTCCCTTTTAACAGGAAGAAACCTCCAGCAGAACCAGGCTCAGTGTGAGCGTCCATCTACCGAGGCCGACTGGGGTTCAAGGAGACAGAAGCAGAGAGAAAAGGTGCAACTCTAAAAGGCGACCCCGTCCAGGATACCCCCAATACCCTTCAATGCAATGCCATAACAAGTCACAAGATCAAGTCCCCGAAGAGGAAAACTTGTGATAAATCTAGCAGCCCTGTAAAGGTTGCAAAGGTTCATTTGAGAACATTAGTGAACAAAAAGCGTTGGATCAAGCATTATGGAACACAGCCTCTGAGCAGCGAGTTCAATTTCACATCAATCCAGAGTGCTTTACAAGACATCAAAGTAAAACCAGAGATAAAGGGAAAAAAAAGACCCACTAAAAGAAGCAACTAAATTGAGCTACTAGAAGAATTAAGCACTTCAGAGGCCAATGGTGGCCCTGGAGAAATTCCAGAGAGCCAAAATTCCACCCTTCATAAATCTGGCCTCTTTATGCAGACCAGAGCTACTAAACTGTTTTTTTTTTTTTTTTTTTGGCCTAAATGTATCATATGAAGGAAATCTCCATATCATTCTGAACCCATCCTGTATACAGTAAGACATGGAGGTGGAAGCATCATGCTGTGGGCATCTCCCACTCTCATTGTGGAGAGTGAAGCTGGTCAGAATTGATGGGATGTTGTGGAGAAGCTGGACAAAGAGCAATCCTGGAAAAAAAAATATTCTGAGGCTGTAAAATAAAATCAACAAATGTATTTATTTTAATTTTTATTCAATTTCTTTTTGGGATTAATCAATAAAGTAGTTTTGAGCTGAATTTGTATAGACTTTTGCTGGGTCCACAGGTTCTCCTTCCATCAGGACACACACATCGAGCATGACATTCGAATACTTTAGATCAAATGTTCATGTCTATTTGAAAGACTCTGTCAAAGTCTGATTTGAACCCAATTGATAATATAAAGTGGTTTATTAATCCAATGTGAGTGAACTTTTGAAAAGAAAAGTGTGGAAACATCAGTCTCCAGATGTGCAACTCGATTAGCATCAAAAGGCGGTTCTCAGAGACTGAAAACAAAAGCATCTCTGCTTTAAAAAAAATAAAACCTTTAGAGCTGTCTTAGTCCCACACAGAATGCAAATAAAATGCTGTTTAGAGTTGTAACATAGAGAAATATAAAAATGTTTAAAGGGTCTGAATATTTTTGCAGTTCAGCAAGATAGACTCAAAACCTGAGCATCATACAGTTTAAACTTTATTTATGATCATATAAATACATGACCAATGAAAGAATAAACACCAGGGAGTTAAAATCACTAGTCTTTGCCTGATAAATATTGATTTAGGTGTTTCTGTCTACAGATGCGTTTATGAAGTATTTAAATCATATAACAGGGCTAACATGAAAACCACCATTAGACATCTTGTTTCACATGTATAAAAAGGTTTACATCATTTAAACCCAAGGCCTCCACGGCATAAACACACATTTTATTCAACTCTTTCAGGAAACAGTTTCTAAGGCTTCAGCTGAATACAGAGGAAACATCTCAGAGTCCCGGGTTCCTCCATAAAGATCATCCAAGGATGATCTTTATGTAAAGTTTGACCAGAAATATCTGCCATAAATTCTTGGTAAATTCTTTAATTTCTGTTGTTTTAAACAAATTAAAAAAGCAAAGAAAACACAGGGTACAGTAGGATTGATAGGTCTCCACATACATTGACAGCTTCTATCTGATTTGAGCTGCAGGAACTAGTCAGATCCACTGAAATCCCCTTTTCTTATCAGCTTGACGTTTCAGCGTCTATAGCCTGAGGGATCTGTACAGGCAAGTGATTCCACTCCTCTAAAATAGTGTAGGCAGCTGCCAGGATAAAACATTGCTGTAGGTTAAAACAAATGAAAGCGTTACGATATGAAACCAAATCAGGCAATCATCTTAGAAAATAAACGCCTTGATTTTCTATTATCAACCTAGACAGCAACATGACAGGCGGACTCTGAAGCATCCGCTCAGGGTCAAAAGGCGTGGAAACACAAGGCTGAAGAGGCGGAGCAGAGATCACTTCCTCTGCAGGAACATGTTGAGGTGAATTTGAGCTGATAAAGGCTGTTTAAAGTAGAGAATCAGTGCAGTTGAAGGTGCATCAATATAACTGGTTGGATTTTATGTCTAAAGATGACATATTTTGTGTTTGTATTGTTTTAGTTTGGCTAAGAGATGACCAAAAGGCCCCACTGGGTTAGGAAGGACTGTGCTCCTCAGCTAGACATATTTTAAGGCATTCATGTCACATGCTAAAGCTTCCGCGTTTCTTAATCTGAGTCATTATGCTTAGAAAACAGGGCGACTATAGAAGGTCTCCTTGTTTAAGACCCCTGATGGATATCAGCTGCTGTCTTAAGTAACAAGGACACGACTGCTTGATCTAAATTCAAACAAAAAAAGAAAGAGAAGTATGTGGAGATAACCAGTTCTCAGACAATCAGATCTTTGTGAGGCGAAAAAGGCTGAGGTCTCTTTCCCATGAGAGCGGAGGCTTAATATTGTCTATAAAGAAAACAGGAAGCGTAGTGTTTGCCGTCTTTTTTTTTTGGCTCTCCCATCAAGTCCTGGTCGGCTGTTTTCGGGTTCTTTATGCACCATCCCGGGTCCAACAGGTGCATCGTACTCGTCTTTATAGTGCGGCCTCCGAGAGAACGGCTAGTATGTCTCTTTGAACCCCTCTCACATCAGTCAGCTGGTTTTCATTGAGGCCCAGTGGTTCAGTGGTGGAGGAAAGACGAAATGCTCTTATTGAGCTTGAGGTTCTCTTAAGGGAAAACAGAACTTAGAGTGAGAACATCATAACATAAACAGACCCCATTACAAAACAAACTAAAGAAAGCCGTTTTGTAAAGTTTGCTGTCCGCAACATAATGTCCGTAAAAGTGAACCAAGAATGTGCCTTTAGTGTCTTCAACGCTCTCCTCGTATCCTCGTCTCGTTTATCAAGCAAGAAAGGGAGGGGAAAGAAAACGATTAGTGAGAGAAGACTTCTCTCTCTTTGATTTCTGTTAATTCCAAAGGTTTGGGATATAAGTTGCTGGTCAGCATCCGGCCGGAACGTCTGACATGAAGTCAAACTCGTTCTGTCCGAGCCAGAGCTCCGGCAGCTCATTGGCTCGGTCCAAACCCAGCTCGACCACCAAAGACATGAGTACCTCTTCGTCAACGGGGTCAAAGTCAATAATTCCACTTGCTCCAGATCCTTGGGACGCCATGCCGATCCCCATACCAATGCTCCCACTGCCGAGGCCTCCAGAGGGCCCCAAAAGAGGGCCGGCTGTGCCAAGTGGAGAGCCGCCGTAGCTCTTCTGAGCTCCACCGGGCGCCGAGTGGCCGTTGGAGATCCCCGAGGCGAGGTTCTGGTAGTGAGAGTTGAGCTTCTGCAGCTGCATGCTGGCTATGAGGTGCGGACCCGTCTGTAGACAGAAAGGCTGCTGTTTGGAGAGCGACGCAGACTGCAGAGACACCCCCGACGACGAGGCCGGACCGGCCGAAGGGGAGAAGGGCACGACTGAAGGCTTGGAGGAAGAGTAGTGGAGGAGGGAAGTGAGAGGAGAAGATGATGAGGAGAGGTCCTTCATCGCAGCGTAGGTGTTGCCAGGGCACAGGATTGAGGTCATCACCAGGAAAACCCGGAGCCTGCATGAGGAAGAGGAAGGATAAGGAAATATTGAACAGGAGCAAGAGGAAGAGATAAGCTGGATAGCAGAACAATCCTACTGATGGAAGAGGACATAACTGAAGATAGTCACAGCTGGTGATAAAGCATCTTTGTGGAAGATCTTTTTTCTGCTCAGACAAGCAGATAACTGACGCTTCAGATAAATGGCAACAATAGAAACCTTATTTCTATTCCTCTGCGGATCATCACTTCAGCAACATCCTCTCTGTGTCCATGTTCAGTATGATGACAACATCAAATTGTAAGGTTAGTATTGATTAATGTTTTGTGAGTCAAGAAAGCCATTAGTCTAAAAGTGGGCATAACATAATAATAATTGAACTTTATTGATCTCACTCTAGAGAAATTTACCTCTGCATTTCAACCATCCCCTTGGGGAGCAGTGGGCTGCCATTGTGCGGCGCCAAGGGAGTAGCGTGGAGTTAAGGGTTTTGCTCTGAGACCCAGAGTGGCAGTCTGAGGGAGTGGGACTCAAATTCAGAACCTCAGGGTTCCAAGTTGTATGCCCCAACTACTAGGCCACCACTCCCCCTGTCTGCCACTTCCCCCTTGCCCTTTTTGGGACAATTTTTCAGTTGTGCATGAAGTTTTAGCTTCATGGTGCATCCTGAGCCGTGTTCTATACAGAGGGGTAGCATACGATGGCCAGGAAGTGAAAACAACATCACATTTACCTGAGACACTTTTACAAGGTCGCCAAACAGTTCGGATCAACAGTATCTGGCTACCGTCAACTTCTTGGTCAGACTAGAGCTTCATGAGTTGTGTGGTGTTTTAAACTGTCCTCTTGGTTGGACCAGAATAATTGCTTAATTAGCCCACCTGATGAAAAAGTAATGATGTCGGCCTGTTTTCAACTTTAGCTGTATTCTGATGGGACTTCTACCAGCATAATATTTGTAATAATTGCTGTCTGTGTCTGTCTGAGATCGTCCGTGACGTTAATCTCGTGGAAATCTGTCATGTCGGTGATTTGTGTCGTAATAGTTCCTCCGCATATTACCGGCTATAATTTACTGAACACAGACATGAGCATGATGCACGACTCATGAACTATGACAAAGAACTTGATGGTAGCAGACGCTGTCAATGCAAACGGCAGATCCACTGTTTTGTCAAACTTATAAAAGTCTTTGGTAAATGTAATATTGTTTTGTACTTCTCAGCCAACATATTGACAAGACTCAACAACAGTAAGCTTTGGATGATTTTCCTAACTCCTTATTTTCATGGACAATAACTTGAGTCTCGTATCCAGTGGTTTCTGAAAAACCTTGTACCTCTTACTGACCCTATAAAACAATACCTAGAATATCCAATTAACTTCAAAATGCTTGTTTATCAGGAAACATGGCTGGTGCTAATCACACTGACTTTGTTAATCATTTCTCCATGATGGATTCTTTCTCCAATAAACAACTGCATTCAAATTAAAGGCTGGCTTTTTCATAAGACATTCAGGGTGAAATGAATTTTCTCCAAATGACAAGTTTAACTAATTTTATGACCTTTAAGCAGGATAGATCGATAAATATGCTGCTTTCTTATAGGCTTTCTAATTAAAAGAAAAACTCTGTTGACTGTTAACGACAGGTTTGCTCGTGTTCTTTGATCCCAGCGGGTCACAAGAGTCACATCTGTGTGGGAAACACGCAGCAAGGCGATCCTGGTGCCGGGACGGTCGTATGACTCTGAATTTGAGAATGACTCTAAGTGTGTGTGTGTGTGTGTGTGTGTGTGTCTGCTTTTCCTCCTGACCTATTGAACAGCAAATTAACCATGAAAAGGCCTGTGGGCACTGGCTGCTTGAGGGAGTGTTTATGGGACTCCATATGTAAGCTGTGTGAGGGGGGTGTAGATGGGTGGGTGAATGTAACTCCCAACACAACAGAGCCTTTGAGGATCTCAAGGAGAGCCTGGGTCACATGGGAGGGTAAATACATATGGGTCCTGAGAACGGACCATATGTCTGACTGCGTCTTAGAATGGGTGTGTGTAAAACTAAATGTTATTGCAGTGTGTGGAGGTAAAAAAGGCCTACTACACACACCACATGTGTGTTTGTGTGAGCATGCAACACCATCCTTGAGGCTCATATTTAAGTCCCTGAGCCGCTTTATATTACACTTAGTTCAAAAAGCATGTGTGCCTTAACATACACACACAGCATCATGTGGCTATCCTCCTAGTCAGACATCAGATTATAATGTTTTCCCGTCACACACACACACACACACACCCAGCCTCTCCTCTGGCTCTTATTCAGTAAGAACATAATTGCCACAGGCAGCCATGCAGCTGCACTCGAATGATAGCGTTAACACACAAACAAAGATCCCAAACAGCTGTCAATGGCATGTTTGTGCGTCTGTTCATTTTTCATTGGCTGATTACTGTCAGCGGCCAGGCGGCACATGGCGTCTCTGCCCAACAGCTTTCAGCCACATGAGTGCAGGGGACGCAAACATAAACAGCTGACCGAGCCCCCACTGATGTGGTTTTAATCAGACGTTTCAGACGAGGTGATCAAAGGTGGAATCAGGCGTTCAAATATCCAACTCGCCGATGGTAAGTTTTGTTGGATGGATGGAGAAAAAAGGGATTAAGGTGTATTTGTTCTCAAATCTGATTCTGAAATGTTTTGAATGAACAATCCAGGCCCTAAGCTTAATGCAAATAAGGCTTTGAAAACATTACAGCTCTGTTTAAATGACCTCATCTGTAGTCAGTTTGAATTTTAGACATTTTCTTTTAGCGGGATACATTTCATGTCGCCCCTCTTTTCTCTGCTTCTGATGAAACAAGCAAAGTCGGAGTCGTGTCTAGTCCATTTTCCTTGCATTGCAGTAAAAATGACATCTATAACCAAGGTCTTAAAAATGCAGAATTAAATGTCTTACTGCTTGTATTGTCATCCCTTTTTTCAGTTCTATCAAAATACAACCAGTTTTTTCTTAAAGCAGATGAAAAAATAAAAAAATTGGCTGCAAAATGCCACTTAGGCCAGTAGATGTCACAATTTAGCCTATTCAGAGGTTTGAACTTAAAAATAGAGATTTGTAATGAACGTAACAGATGTAACGCAAAACAGTTTCCTTTATGAAATAACCCAACAGCAACTTAGTGTTGGTGTAACAGTTTAGCATTTAGCTAAGCTAAATCTAAGGGTTTATATCTGGTAAACAAAACTTATTGAAATCCGCATATAGTCGATTTAATTAGACAAATGCTGGTCAGGAGTGATATAAAAATATTTATCTGTTTGTGAATTAAATTAGGCTTGATGGTGATAAAGGTGGGCTGCTCTGTGTGGGTATTGGGTAGCACTACTGCCTTGCAACAAGATGGTTCTGGGTTCGATTCCAGGCTCGGGGTCTTTCTGCATGGAGTTTGCATGTTCTCCCTGAGCATGCATGGGTTCTCTCTGGGTACTCCTGCTTCCACCCCTAGTTCAAAAACATGACTGTTGGCTTAATTGGCTTCTCTAAATTCTCCTTAGGTGTATGTGATTGGCTGTTTGTCCTGTTTGTCTCTGTGTTTCCCTGCGATGGATTGGTGACCTGTCCAGGGTGTACCCCGTAGACCTCACTTGGGATTAAGCGTGTTTGAAGATGGATGGATGGTAATAAAGGCTTGGGGTTCTCCAACGTGCCAACAGGGTTAGCAGTGTGCAATAACAAAAACCAAGCAAGGCTTCTTCCTCCACGAACAATGTGGCAGACTTGTGAATAACAAAAATGAAAAAGTAATCAAAAATGTTTAAAAGTAATCACTGGCTTATATCGTTTTATTTTTTGCGAACCAGGAAGAAGAGCTTCTCAGAAAACCAAGGGCTGGGTGTCGGTCACATCCTGACCCCGCAATGCTCATGCACCCACCTGCATTCAACGGTTTGTGTATGAATGGAGGACAAAGCAAGCGGGAGTTTCAGCAGAATTTAGGAAGGATGCTGCGCACAACAACTGGAGGAACGCCAGTGTTTGTTTGTTTTTGTTTTTTTCCTACTCGCAGCTGACCAGACTTCATGGTGTTCTTCCAGCACATTTTACGGGACTGTGAAATCTTGGTTTTACTGGATGAAATTATTTTATTGGCCGTCTGAGGCTGCTGTTTTGGCTGCAAACGGGTCTGCATCTGTCTTAATTATCTGCTAATTAAGGCAGACTCTCCCAGAAGGGATATAACGTCATATGGTGAACATTAACTACAGGCCTAAAACTCTAAAACACCAAGGACAACCCTGTCACTAAGTTTGCAATATTATGATTTTCCTTGAGGATATCCACACATTTGATCTTTTTTTTTCATTTTGTAAAGTTTTTGTGAGGCAAAGTTGTATTAGGCTCTAGTGAAAACGTGATATTGTAGTAAATTTGAAGAAAAGTGCAATCCCAAAAGCTAGAAGAAGCACCCTGGTTTGGTTTTGTTAGGAGACGGCGTTTTTTTGGCAAAGAAAACCAGTGAAAAAAACAACAGTTGCTTAGAAGTAGTTGCATCTTCTAGGCAGGAACATTTTCAGTTAAAGTCGCCTTTAATTAACGAGATTAGCAAAAATTTGAAGCACTAGTTGGCAGATATTTTCACTATTATACAAAATCTCTGCATGACTACCACTGATGTCACTTTCTTCACATTAACATTATTTAAAATCTTTTGACTTACATATGAAATTATCTTAAGATGACATAAAAAAAAATTTCACCTGGAGCTGTTTTGTTTTGGCCTTAATATATACAACTACAACAGTAGTAGGAGTTAACTTCCACTTTGATAATTAAAACAGATGGAAAGATTTTAATAAATATGTGAATGGAATAAAAAAAAAAGTAAGTCAAAGAGCTTTTCATGCAAAATATGATCAAATCAAAGCCGTTATCAAACACTGCACATCAATTCAGCACAGCATTGTGGTAGTTTTGGAAAACACACAAAGAGTTTGAGTGCAGACACTCAAACCGCCTACAACAAAAACAACAACAGGGGCTTCAGTTACACAGTTACAGACTGGAGAGCTAATTAAAACATCAGTGTGTCTCTCCTATTCACACACACACCATATGCCGCCCAGGACTGCTCACCCGTGGCTCTAATTGCCTCCATATTGAGGATGGTTAATAAGAGGCAAGTTTAGAACATGAACAACAGCCTGATTTTCACCTGTGGGGGTTTTATGGTTTCTGCTTATTTTACAGGGAACAAGCATTTTCCTGAACTTTTACTGCCAAAACATGATAAGGTGCTAAAAAATAAAAAACATGAGGAAAAAAAACAACAACAAAAAAACAATGTCCAATAATTTTACTCTAATAAGAAACTAATATGATGACATAAAATTGTTGGGAACTTTCCCTCTATACATTGCACACATTAACTGATCTGCTGCCAAACTACAGAAAAACAAATATAAATAATAAAAAACACACATCTGAGATGGACCTACCTGTGAGGAGTTTAAAAATCCCAGTCCAGATAGGGATAATGGTTCTACTGGGAATGGGAAAGTGTGAATTATTAGAGATGTTGAGCTCTGTCAGAGAGAGAGAAGCCTGTTCACAGACGGACTGCCAGAGGATCTGTCAGATCCTCAGAGAGCTGGTTGCTGAATAAAAAGCAGTTTGTGTCCCTTTCCTCCTCACTGAAAAGCCCAGTGTGTGTGTGTGTGTGGGTGTGTGTGTGTGTGTGTGTGTGCCATCCACAAAGCCAGGGCTGGAGTTTCACTGGATCAGGACTGAGGGCTCAGCAGCACAAACATTAAGAAAAGCAGGATGAAACTGTACCTGAAAACTGAGATATATAATAAAAGTCTCACAAGCAAATGAATATTTTCTGACTATATGTGAAATGAATAAAAATAAAACATTGCTCACTATGTGTGAACCATTATGTGCTGTATTTTTACACCAACGCTAATATCAGTGTTTAACTGTGATGCAGTATTTTTTGTTTTATATTGACTTTGATTTAATTTTATCTTAAGGCAGATTAAATCTTTTGTGTTTCGGTGCCTCTTCGTTTTTTCCCCTTTTTCAGCTAATTTTACAGTTTTTTTTTTTTTTTTTTTAATTGGTTTTATTGTTTGTATTTTATCTTTTTCTTCTTTATTATTTAAATAGCAATCTAAGAT